TCTTGAAACAGTTGGGTGAACCAGACCATGCTACACTGGTGCTGTAACACCCAGCAGGACAAAGGAGAGAGACTGCCACCAAAACTTCTGGGGTATCAGTAATATGGTATCAGCCCTCCTCTCGGTGAGCATGTAACACATTGCACAGGTACTTGTCAGCACATTTACTGCCATTTTAGGACCAATTACCTTTCAAATAACCTGTGTAGAGTCACAGAAGACACCCTTCATGCTGTGAGCCTCACCACTGTGTCTTACTGTGCCATGGTGATCAAAAGAACAGTATGGGATGAAGGTTTAATGGAAAAACCCTCCAACACAACCGTTGAAATAAAGGAATCTTCAGCTCACTCCAAATTGTTCATGGCAACTTTCTTACATACTGGAAAAAGCTACCTTGTGATGTGTTAACAGTTTGGTTTTGCCAGCTATGAGAAAGCACTCAGACAGTTGGCATTTTGCTGAAAAACATGTCACTGTTTCCTCTTAGCTCATGATAAAAAAAAAAAAAAGCAGTTATGGCATATTTGCATATTTTCATGCAATATATTGGCCTGGATGCCTCATGAATGTCAGTGTTAACATACTAGAATACTGTGTGATGCCTAGATCTTGTAATTTAAAATGATTGTATGAAATCTCATGGCAGCAAAATCCGTGTTTTGTCTATTTATTATTTAAAAAAGATATTTCCCTTTTAATAAAAGAGATATATATTTAATATATTGTCCATCTGTGCTAAAAAAGATAAATGTAAGTATTGCTTGTTCTACTCTGATGGGTCACATTAGCTTTGTCATCCTTTGATTAAAAATGTCCAAGGAAATCCTGGACAATATGCAAGTGTGACATCTCTGTATAGAAATGACTTGGGCAAAAATTTCAGTCCAGCTACAGCTGTATGTTATTATTCATGAGATACACAAAGATGATGTGTATCTAATAAATAAAAGGTGCATGCATGAATATAATTACTCAATCTGTGTATCATAAATGAATACATGTGGGTCCTTTGGAACCACAATGCCCAAGTGCATGCAAACATTCATGATATGTGTAAATATGGTGATCATTTTGTTGAGAAAATCCTTTAGTCATCTGGCAGTCTCTGAAGTGCAGCAGTATGGTACATTAAGTATGTAAAAAAATGAAAACAGATTTGTTTGAGGATAAATTGAATCTTCTACAAGAAAATAGAGTGCCCAGACTTTCCAGAAGATTAGGAGAGGTTTGTCCTTACCTTTAGAAGAGGAATGTTAAAGTGAGGAACACAAGATAATGTGAAAGAATTAATCATACTCTCAGTTTTTTCACAGTCTTTACATCAGATGGGGCTGTGAATAATAAGCTAGTGGACTGTGCTTATATAGTTACTGTTCTGTTGTATTTAGAACTAGGACTTATATTACTCTGGGGAAAAAGAAACCAAAACAAGTGTAAATATGTCTTCATATTCAGGCCAGTAAGGGTGAGGGCCAGAGCCCAGATGCTAGCCATTGAGCAGCAAGGTAGTTGCCAGTGTTTCAGGTGCCCATAACTGAGCTATAAAAACAACACACCTTTTAGAAGGTGGTGTGTGCCTATCTTTTTAACATCACTTCTTAAATAAAGAGATAAGCCTCAGTCTTACAGCAGTACACTGGAAGATTCTGAGGGATATAATTTCAATGCAGAATTTCCTTTAAAAAAGCTTTCCATCAAAAAATCTTCATAGAGGAAATCTGGATGTAGGGTTCCTTTTTGTGTCCAAACAAATACCTGTCTGTAACAAAACCATCTCTAAAGTTTCTGCTACTGGTTGTTACAGAGTTTTTCTGTTCTTTTGTTGTAAGCAAAAGATAGGTAAATATTAATGCCAGATCACAGATGCAAAATGCGAGTGCTGTATTTACTGTATTTGTATATTGTAATGCACCAAATGAACTTCCGTGTCAGGACTGGAGTTGAGAACCCTTTTGATTTCTGTTTTGATGAGATAGTTAGAAAACAAAGCACTCCATGTTCTGTAATTTGAAAAACACTGTTCTGTAATTTAAAAATAATTGTTTTTAACTCTCACCTGATATCCGTGTTACTGACCAATTTTTTTTAAAGTGTTTAATATATAACTTGCAATGTGATTATTTCTAAGATTGATGTAAACATACAGAGCATTATGACATTCACAGAACTGCTGGTCTAAATTGCTGAAAAAGCTAATTTTCTTGTGTTCAATATGTTTGGTTTTTATTTCCTAGAGTCACTCAGGGGACTATTCAAAACCAAAAGCCTTAAGATTTTCCTAAATTTTAGGATAATTGGATACAGGGTATTGACTCATATTATAGGGATGGGCTCCAAATGGGAGCTTGAAGATCCCCGTTTTTTTAGCCCAAATTTTGTTCTATGTCAGAACAACTTTATACATTCATACTGATAAAATGCTGCAAAGATATGTGGCCAGTACTTTTATCAATACAAATTTTGTATTGATAATGTGTGGCTGACACCTCAGGTTTTATAGGGGCCTGAGTAAATATATGTATTGCAGTAAAAGATCTCTGTATTGTATAAGTGACCCTGCCCTGATTCTAGTTATTGTAAATGGGCTGCAGCTGTGATGTCCGTAACTGGGCGGCAGCTGCAACCCGAGGAGGTAGCTGGGATAAAAGGAGTGGGTTGGCTGGTCAGGGAGAGCCTTGGAGGAGCCCTGATGAAGAAGCAGCAACAGTGCTGTGAAGAGCTGTGTGTGAGAAACCACCCAGAAGGTATGGGACTCTAGAAATAAGATAATAACAATATGAATGCAACAAGCTTTAGCACAAGTTCCTTCTGAAATCAGTTTTGCTCTATGTCAGGAACAACATGCTGCCATGACAATAAACTGTGAGCTCCCCTTTATGAAATGTTAATAACTCTCTGGTTTCTGCCAAATTCATGCTCATCCACATGCCAATTACAGTGAGGGGAAACCAGATGTATATAAAAACTTAGGCATATAGTCAGTTTTTCTCCTCGGGCATGAATAATTAGAATGAACAAGAAGGATCATTAAATTTTCTTTGTGGGTGAATCTTCATATATAGAAAATATGCTCCAAATAAATAAGACTGTATGGAAGGCGTACCTAAAAATGCAGAGCCTGCATTTACTTTTTCCAAAATAATTTTCCATGTTTTCATGTGGCTCATTTTCAATATCATGACTGTGACAAACACATGAAAAGCAAGTTTGGTGTGAGCTCAGTCCATCTAGCTCATTATGTGCTATTGTGCATCCTCCTTATATGATTGCCTAGTATTTGCAGCCTGCTACTCTGTCTTTGCTATTGTTAGAGGTATGGTTTCACAGCAAGGTTTTATAATCATATTATCCTTACTGAACCAGCAATTGAGTAAACTGGTTTTCTAGAAGGTCTGCTCCTACCACTCAATACCTGGCAGGCAGGTTGATTATTGAGAAATCTGGGGTAAAGGACCTGTTCTTTGTAAGGCCTGGTCACATTGCCCCCAGAGCATATATGGCAGCTTTTTGTGTACTGGTTATTTAATGGTAAATAAAAAAGAAGGTAGGTCTGTCTGCCCAGTGTTCTGGACAGGACACAGAAAGGAGGACAGAATTTATATTGTCCAAATTAGGAAGTGGGTAAAAATCACCAACTTGTGTTGTCGACCTCTGAATGCTTCTGTATGTTATTTATGTCCCATGCAAAATGAGGTCAAGAGGCATATGAAAAGTCATGGGAATTTTTTTTCTTAAAAACAAGCTCAAAGTTCTAGATAAGAGTCTTTGAAATCTCTAATTAAACTATAAATTTCTGATTCTCTATTGTCTGTTCAAACTGTTGGACATTATCTCTCTGACATTTGAGTTGGAAGAAAGGATGATATGCAGATGTAATATTAAAAAGCCCTAATAATATTCCAAAAGAGAAAAATTAGGCCAACAGGCTCTTTATAGTAGTGACTCAATTAGTGATAAGATCTGTCACCCCATATAAAGAATTTTTGCACAGCCACAAAGAAATGTAATTCATCCACACAAAGACTATGTAGAGGTTCCAGATCACTCTTCAGGTTTGTTTGGCACCATACAGGACTAGCCCTTGGCAAAGAGTTTTCAAGCAGATTAAGAACCAATAAATGTCTAATGGTATTTTGAATAGTTTTTAAAGCTATTTTATTCATGGTGGGTTGACATAAGTACTGTGGGTATTTATTTGTGTTGCTCCTGCAGTAGAGGAGGAAGGATAAGCACTAAGTGCCAGTAGCCCTCTAACATTACTTTCCCTCATTTTTTTGTGCTTTCTAAAATGTGCATGATTTATCTAGAATTCAGCATTGTAATGAATTCCACCATAGAGGTAATTTGCAATTCAACAAGTCCACCCTTCCAAAGTAAGAAAACAGATTTTCCCCTAATTTTTTTTTTTGCAATGTTCTATCAGGAAACCCTTTACCAGAATTCACTTAGTAAGTTTTCTACTTCCTTGAATATTTCTTGTGAATAAGGTGGCACTCATCTTGAAAATTAGTTTAATAAACATTATGAAGTCTCTTTAGGCCAAAACACACATGAAAACATTTTGCTAAACTCCCTGATCTAACAAAGTTTACATTTGTTTTGTACAGAGTTCAAATATTATAGATATTTGGGTGTCCCTATAGAGGTCACTTTTAAAATTTGAGTTTTATTAGTATATAGTTTTATACACATTCAAAGCCTTATTTCAGTGTCAATAAATAAGGAATCAGAAAAAAATACCCTTCTGTCCTCCATCACAAGTTTCTCCTTTATAGTGGTGCTCCCCTTCCCAGGTGAAATCAGTAGCATATATGAAATTACCTTCTCTGTGTGCATTTCCTTTTCGTATTAGGCTTCCTTGTCTAGGTATTTTTGTTAGTGTACTTGTCCCAGTGCCCTCCTCTGTTGCTGCCCTGTTCCCCCATCATTGAGCACATGCAAAGTATTCAAATATATTAGGATTTACCTTATAAATACTGATCCAACGCTCTCTGTAGGACTGGCTGGGTCGTCATTACTTGATTTTCGGAAGCTGTTCTGACTTTCAGAAAGAAAAACTGAGTCCTCCAAGGAGCTTCCTTTTTTCAACATTTTAATGGAGCTAACTGCAGACTTAGGTAAGTTCAATACTGGAGCAATCCGTGAAACACACAGCCTTTCTCTGCTGTAGGAAGTGCTGTCTTGGTCTGACTCCAGCTCAAACTAGGTTTAAAAATCAGTTAATGAGTAACGTAGTGTTGTGATATCATAAGGGAGTTTTCTTTTTTATCTGCAGCACTTCAGAAGTTTACCTGAGAACAGAAATTATCAAATCTAGGTGAACTGTGTCTTTGAAATTTCATTATAAATAGCAATAACATGTTTGGCTGAATTGAGGAGTGTAAAACATGAACTCTATTTCCAATTATGTTTTGTTTTCAGGTTTGTACCTAAAACTGAAACATGGTCTGTCATAAATTCTGCTTTGTGATCTATCTACCTATCTCTAAGTGTCCAAGTTTGAATAACAAATGTGTATATTTTTTAAGAAATGACTATATCTACCTGTTGTGAAGATGCCAAAATTATTATATTGGACTTCTCCAGTGACGAGTTGGTCCACATGTGTGCAAGTGGCTGCTATAAAAGTCAAATCCTTGCAGTTTAATTTAAATACAGGTAGTCGTTTAATTCTCAATGCACAGGGATTCAACTGGACAAAATCAGTTTGTCTAACCTAAAACCAGTTTTTAAACCAAAACCAGTTTTTCCATAAATTGGCAAACATTAACTACAAACATACATGGTTTTCTGTTTGTTGAAGATTACTATAATGATTAGGTTAGGGAGTGAAATAATCAGAAATCTTTATATTGCAAATCCTCTTATAGTACTGATTTAACATCCAAAGTATTTAAAAATCCTCTTAAAATTCATCTTGGACCACCATGTAATGAAGATTTGTCTATGAGACTGACCAAAGATGTTTAATGTAATACACTCTTTCTGTTCTCAGCATCTATGAACAGCTTGTGAAACAGTACAAATCCATTTGGACTATCCACAGGTTTTATTGGTAGATGCAAAGACATCTAAGCAAACAAATGTATTTTTCTCTTTTTAAATTTCTTTGTTTCTGGTTTATTTGCATAACTAAATACCTAGACTTTTTTAGTATAAAATTTGCTTGTGATCAGTGTTAATTAAGCAAATTGTAATGAAATCTACAAATGTGTGAAACAGTCACTATTGAAATACAGGATTAGCATAACAGCTAAGAAAGGTAAAGATGAAGCAGCTGCTTCCTTGGAAGCAAAAATTCCAAATAAATGTGAGAGGACTTTTAATAAAAAACCCAGAAAATAAATAAAGTATATGCTTTTCATCATATTTAAATATTCCCCATGAAACCTGTACTTAAGGAGCTGTGTTTAAGCTACTTGGATTCTGAATTAATGCCTCCTTGAGTCATTATGCTGTACACGTTTGGTTTCGTGCTATCTAGGCCTTTTTGTTAGTCTGTACGTGATCCTGTGTGATCATAGGCTACAAACATGGAGCTGCCTAACTAGGCAAAGTCTGTACTCTATTACTCTTCCATAAAACAAGTGATATCACCTTCAACAAATACAGAAGCTTTTTCCTTCTCTAATCGCAAGAAGAATTTACTTTGGCTGTGTTGTATCCTATTCACTTAGGATAGGAAGGCTTTATCTTTTTCAAAGAAAGAAATATTCTTAGAACTATTTAGAAAACTTAAGTGACATAATGAGCTTGTAAATCATTAATATGACTTATTTTTCTTTGAAAGCAATCTATTTGTACAGTAAAATGTAATGAAACCCCTTCATTAAGAGTCAGAATGGCAACTGTGTTCTTTTTCTATGTTAAAAAGCAAGTACAGTGAGAGGGCAATTGAATTTTTCCCTAAATGAGTAATTGCAGGAACATTCTTAGCAAGAAAAAACTACAACATGATTCCTTTCCTCCAATTTTATGCATCTTTGCTGTTCTACAAAACAGTCAGATTTTGCAGTTTCGTACAGGGGACCGTGCCTGCTTCTAAACTACTGTTTACTATATCACAATAGTAAGTGGTAAGCGTGTGTTTTCCAGCCTGCAATTATATGGCTACTTGCATAAGCCCGTGCTGAAGTGCTTCTAGGTTTGCCATGCTAGTGCAGTGCTAACCAGGTCAGGGACTAGGCTGGGGAGTCAAATGCTCCTGCCTGCACAGCTGGTGTTACTGAGCTAGTTTAGGTCAGCTCAGGCCTACACAGCATCACAGAATCATGTAAATCAAATCAATCCATAGACCTAACACTGCCAGTTCCACCTCAGGAGCTTTGTTGTAGTGGCAATCAGTGTTATGTATGGCCATGTGAAGAAAAACAGGTTTGTGTGACAGTGCCCTGAGACTCTCATGGCTCTTGTTTATTAAGAAGTCTTATCTGCCTTGAATGTTGCAGCAATAACTCCCTGGACTGATGAAAAGGAGCAGGCCTATGAGATGCATTTCTCGTTGGAACAGGAAGGTACAGTGGTGGTACTGCTGTCACCTATGCTCAAGAGATTATTTTTGCTCATTAGTAGGCCCACACAACCTGAGTTTACTATTGATTTGTAGTGCTTTGCACAGCTGTGATCTTGAGCTGTTTTGGAGATCATTTTAGGGCTGAAAATACTAGATGGTTAGTTGTAGTTGTAGTCAGAAGGGCTGACCTGATGGTGTCTGTATAAGTGGTAAGACTTGGATTCATGCAATTTTTATTTTGTGTGGATCTATGCTGTATTATAATCTTTGGAACTGCCCCATTTTGATGCAAGGATATGAAAACTGTGTAGTTTATAACCACTAGGCAAATTTAAAAGCAGTTGATCACTCCATGTCTTTCTAATATTCATAAATATTTTCAGGAGAGGTAGAGATACCTACAGAAATGTCAGCGATAAGAGATGTGGGGCAGATACAGAACTTACTTTTTGTAGCTGCTCACTTCACATCCCTTAGCCGTAGTTAACAGACACCAGTATCTTTTCTCTTTCTGATGAGATGGATCAGGTGTGGGAAGAAGTTGATACTCCTGATGGTGTGGCTATCTGCTGTACGTGGACTTCTCCCCAGAGAATTGTTCTTCATGTTCTGAAGAAACTGGTAGCTCAGTAGCTTATAAGCTTGAGTAAATTTGTTTTACTCTATCTCTTGCTGTCTCATACAATGAAAACAACTTTTCCCCTTTATTTCTTGAGTTCCTCTTCCTTTAATCTACTTTTCTTGAATTCCATATTCATATTTGGCCAAGCGTATCCTTATTTTTCTCAATTATCAAACTATGCCCTTTAATTCTGACCTTTGTCACTGACACTCTGTTATCGCTTATCTGCTAGACTATATCTTGTGGAGTCTAGGACTGTTGCAATTATTTCTGATAGGCAGGGAGGGTGAAAATGTGGCTAGTGTCCTTGAACCTCATACAATTTTATTTTCAGTCTGCAGCAGTTGTCATTAAAAGGTTAGAAATTATCTGGAAAATGTACACTTTCTTTGTCCCTTATGACTACTGTGGGATTTTTTTTCCCCATCAAAATAAAATGAATTACTTCAGGTATGGTGGATTATTCTTGCTTTCTCGGTCCCTGGAGTATTTCTTCTGAAGACAGAGATATTCAGAAATATATTAACAATACCAATTGTGTTACACACATTTTAAGTCCTTTTGTCTGACCTAAATGGTCTCCTGTTATGCGATAGGAAGAAAAAAGTGGTGAAATTTGGGCATTCAGAGCGAGAGATTTCATTTATGGTAGGGATGGCTTTGTGGCTTGTGACAGGTGACTGCTAAGAAACTGCCTAAATATTGCAAGTTGAAGTGATCATACAGGGAGATGCTGTTAAACAGTTTGTAAAGAGATGTCAGGAAGTATATTTTGAAAAAAACCATTCAGTTTTATTACCATCCAGGAATGAGCCAAATGAGCAATAAACCAGCTGCTGAACTTGTGGCTGAAGGTCATACTAGTGACTTGAGATGGTAGTGAATGTTGTACATTCTTATAGGAGCTTACATCTTGGCTAGAATGTGGCCACAAAAGCTTATAGATTTTTTAGTAAGGAGTAGGGGAATCAATGAGTGGTCATTTTATCAGTTTGTTCTGAGTTTCAGAATTTACTGGCCTGTAAATTGGACTGCATAATTAGTCTGTTATGATCCCTAGAATAATGGGGAGGTGAGTTCTTGCTTTATGGGTTTAGCTCTCATAATGTTTGTTTTCTGTGGTATACACAGAAGCAGCTGCTCTGATTCAGAGCCAACATTGTCTTTCATGATTAGGATTGTCTCATTTTTTCCCCTGCTTGTATCAAGTCTATTCAAAAAAATAATATTTTTTTCCTCTTAACTGGACATATGAAAAGTGCACCTTTCCAAATAATTCCAGAAAGAAATATGGGTCACATGTTGTTCAGTCTAAAATCAGCTTGGACATTTTTAGGTAAGTTTTATATCTAGTTTCCAATATTCCATTCCTTTTTCTGATCTTAGGTTTCTTGGTTTCCCTCTTGAACTGGGGTTTAATCTGTTCTAATCTGTGCTTTATTTGCAATAGTGAGAAACACTCAGTTTGTATGTAGGGAGTTTTCAGTTCTGCCTGTTCCTGCTAGAACTTGAGCAAATGCTGTGTTGAGTATGTGGGATGCTGCAGGCAGATATGTAGAATTGCTCTTCCTTCTCCTGTGCTACTCTGTATGCTGCATGGCACCAGAACTCATGTGTAAAATCACAGACAAATTTGTGGAGAAAGGGGACAGAACACTGGTCTGGTGAGGTGAGAGCAATAGAAGAACATGTAGCATAGAGGAATTACACCTAGAAGTACACAGGAATTAAAACAATGGTGCGGTGTCCATATTTATGGAAGCCAGTGACTGTTTTGCTTTTCAGTAATCTTGTTGTTAGAACATGCTCTTTAAACTATGTCTTTTCTGCTCCCTGTCTTGGTGGTCACCTTAGTAGATGCTGTTTCAGTTACACCAATGTGTGAACATCCAATTCCATTCCTCATCCTGGAACTCCCATATGCTCAACTTTTGGAGGGTCGTATGTGTGTTTAGAAGCTTCTCCTTCCATGCAACAAAAGC